TTCAACAACAACAAAACAGCACACACACATCCACACGGAAACACATGCGTGCGCACACACATATACACACACACACTCTAATGGTAACAGCAGACGGAGCGAGTGTGAGATCTACCTGACCTCTAAGTCGTTCCTAGCGAAGGAATGCTGCCTTAATGACTAGGAATTGGTTCTGCTTACAAACCCTGATGCTTGGGGCACTGCAATTAGACACACTTCAATTAATACGTCATGTTAAATAACTTTGTGCAGTTCAATTACTGTACACGAGCCGACGCTACAAATCCATAGATAGAGCTCTTTATGAAATAGGGCTTATGTATTTTTTAGGTAGGGGGGATCCTTTGGATATTTAGAAAAAATAAATATGTGCTATTGTTTGTTTTATAGCATTTCAAATATTATCACTCCATTTTTCATTCACTTAGTGAACAAGCGTCAAAGCCTTAAAAAGCAACAATGTAGCATTTGATTTGTTTACTGAAGATGGAAAAAAAATAGTGTACTCCAAAAAATAAAAGGAGCACTTGTACAACAGAACACAACTCCAACACAATGTAGACAACGTAAAATAAACAACGTAATGTAAACAGCGTAACGTAAACAGCATAACATAAACAGCATAATGCAAACAAAGTAACAGAAACAGCATAACAAACAACGTAACGTAAACAGCATAACGTAAACAACGCAACATAAACAGCTTAACGTAAACAATGTAACATAAACAGCGTAACGTACACAGCATAACGTACACATTATAACGCCAACAACTTAACGTAAACAACGCAACAAATAACGAAACGTAAACAACGTGACGTAAACAATGTAACTTAAACAACGTAACGTAAACAACATAAAGTAAACAACGTAACGTAAACAACATAACAAACAACACAATATAGCTCCAAGTGTTACCTTTATTTTTTGGAGTATACAATTTTTTTCTCTTTAAAAATCAGCCGTTTCAAATGTTATCCCTCAATTGAATGGGCATTATCAGTGGTAGATATGGGCCTACTGGTAGGCTCAGAAGGCTGTTATCATCCATCCACATGGTTAATCAGCTATAAACACATATGACTGCAACTGGAAGTTAAAAAAGAATTGATATTATTTATTAAATTTCCCATTAATTGTATTTTATTAACGTCTACCCCAACTCTAAACCCGACCGTCACAGCAATGTAAACACGGACCTGGATGTGGAGTCTTCTCTATTAGTATAGCTGATTAACCATGAAATAAATGATAACAGCCTTCTGAGCCAACCAGTAGGCGCAGAAGGCCCCTCCTGGCCCATGTCTATCAGCTAATAACCACTGATTAGGTCCACTCAATCGAGTGATAACACTTGAATTGGCTGGAACACTAGGAGTTACATAGTGTTGTTTACATTGTTTACGCTACGTTCTTTACATTCAAGCGGGTGTAAAAATTCTCAAGTTTTTCTGCTTTTATCATTATAGTCATGTGTTTGGGTAAACACTTGTTTTGGTCCGCAAGTTACTGCTAAAATACATTTCTTTTAAACTAATGTTGTCTTTTAGTGCATTGTCACAAAAAAAGATAGCATGTTTGGTTTCTCACATTTATTTTTAGACAATACAACAGTCTACTGATTTTTTTTTTTTTTTTTTTTTTTTTGTATTTCCAAAACTTAAATGTTTACCCTACACACATACAATGGAGGATTTTTTTTTTTTAGAAATGGTGTCCTTGTGTAGAAAACCCTTTGAACTACAAATTTTAATTGTAACTTTTTAGAAATTATGTTTTATATATTTAAAGATTCCTCTAGGTCCCAAAATGTACAAGATTTTTTATTTTATTTTAAATCTCAGCTTCTAAGCATGAGTTATTGAATTATTATAATATAATTAACTTATAAATAGTAAACATTGCGTTTTGTCTATTACAAGTATTTTTGAGTTTCTTTGCAAAACCGCAAAAGTAAATTGCCAAAAAAAAAATGTTTTATATAATATATTACATCCATAATCCTATTATGCTTCCAAGTAATTTTCCTGATTATTGGTTAACTTACACAAAATGTATTATATTAATATTTATTCAAATAACCCTGATTGTAAAACGTTGTTTTGAGCAAATGTCATTTAAAAAAAACATCTAATGACAATATTTTCATTTTAAATTTGCAAAAAATCAGTAGTTTGTAGATCAAAACAATTTTTCTTTTACACAAACACAAGCAAATTCATTCATTTATTCATTTATTTTTCTTCACCTTAGTCCCTTAATTCATCAGGGGTCGCCACAGCGGAATGAACCGTCAAGCATGTCTTACACAGCGGATGCCTTTCCAGCTGCAACCCAGTACTGGAAAACATCCATACACACTCATTCACACACTCGTACACTACAGCCAATTTAGTTTATTAAATTCACCTATGGCGCATGTGTTTGGACTGTGGGCGAAACCAGAGCACCTGGAGGAAACCCATGCCAGCACGAGGAGAACATGCTAACTCCACACAGAAAAGTCAACTGGCCCAGCAGGGACTCAAACCAGCGATTTTCTTGCTGTGAGAAGACAGTGCTAACCATTGAGCCAACATGTCGCCCCACAAGCAAATTGTCCATGAAAAAAACAAGGCTTTTTAGGATAATTCTGCTGTGAGGTTGTAAGTGAAAACTTGTTTTTAAACAAGAGCTGTAGTAATTCCCCAAAATATTCATCAGAAGAATGCATGTCATACAAGTCTGGCAGAACAACAACAAATGGCTTAATATTCATGTTTGGGGCGGACTATCCCTTTAACAAAAACGTTATTGTACCGGATCATATCTGCTCAATGGAGATGTGTTTAATCTGCGCTGCTTGTTTTTAACAAAACGGACTGCTATTTTCTGGCTTGCGTTGCTGTTTTTTCAGAAAGAACCTCCTTCTGAAAAGCGTCTTCTGTCTCATAGCCTCATGGGTAGCTCTCTATCTCAATCACTCTATTTTTCTCCTCTCTTTTTTTCAGTCTGTCCATCTCTTTTATTGCATTTAATCTGTTTCGCGCAGCACTCAGAGGGCTTTGGGTTTAAGGACAGCGCCCAGAACGCTGTTCCTGACTAACTAGCGGATGCTTTGAGGCAGTCAGGAGCTCATTTTCTGCTTGTTAGCAGGTTGTGCGCAGCAGGCGAGCCGACAGATAACAGCTGATGAGTGTGTAATCACAAATAATTGTCTTTCACTTCTCGTTTCCATCATCCTTTCAGTCGTGTCCTACCTTTTCTCACACCTTCATGCTCGCATTCGCTGGCATTGACAAATATGCTTCTCAATGTAAAAGCATAGACCTTCTGAAAGCAATCCCGCTGATTATAGAGTTTATGTATTATAGTTTAAAATACTTTGATTCAGCAACACAAAATGTATTCAATTACATGATATGTACTAGATTTTAGATCAAATATTTATTCTTTAAGAAATCATTAAAAAAAATTATTCTTACATGTTTCTTGAGCACCAAACTGGCATATAAGAAGGATCATTTGAGATTGAAGATTCTGCGTAACCCTAGCAGAAATTAATTACAGTTCAATTATGTTAAAATAGAAAATAGTTAAGAAATAATGTTTTACAATTTTATATTCTTGTACTGTATTGTTTATTTAATAAATGCAGCCTTGATGAGCATAAACGCGCTTTTCAAATTCATAAAAAAAGCTATTAATAATTGTGATAGTTAATAATAGTTGTAATTGGTAACCTTGGACCACAAAACCAGACATGACGATCAAAATTTTTATTATTTGATTCATACATCATATGAAAGCTAAATAAATATACTTTTCAATGTTGTATTTGTTAAAATAGGACAATATTTGGCCAAGATTTAAAAATCTAGAATTTAAAGTCTCAAAAAAAAATCTAAATATTGTGAAAATCACCTTTAAAATGGTTTAAATTAAGTTCTTAGCAATACAAATTGCTAATCACGAAATAAGTTTTGAAATATTCAAAGTAGAAAATGTACAAAATAACTTGATATGATCTTTACATAATAAATGATTTTATCATAAAATAAAAATGTATCATTTTGACCAATACAATGTATTTTGCCTCTTGCCAAAATATGCTCAAGCAACATGCAGTAAGAGCGGTTTTGTAGTCAGATTTGTTCTACGTGAAGGCATATTTTCAAGACTCTACCTTTAAGACCTATCTGTGTATATCACTGTATTATTACCCATCATTCTTTGCATGTCAACTGAATAGTAACATCTCAATCACCAACATACCTGCCAACATTTGTCTCCGAAAATCTGGAAGACCGGTTGGGGGGAATACTACTGTATACCAAGGTTTTTCCGGGAAAAATAACAAACGGGAGGGTGGAGGAAGATGGGTCTGAAATATGGGAGACTCCCGGGAAAACAGGAGTGATGGCAGGTATGATCACAGCACAAGATTGTTGTCTCAGGACTATATACAGGGTTTCACCAAGTCAAATTTAAAACATTTTAACACCATTATGAATGAAATTTCAGACTTTCACAGGGAAACATGCTAAGGTTTTTTGTAACAGCCAAGGTTTTTTTTACTTACCCGGTTAAAATTAAATTATTTATTAACCACATATTTTAAATAATGTCTCAAAACAAGCAAACTCTAGTTACAATATATACATATTATAGAATGTATATATTATACATATTATAAAAAAGTTATGCTGATAAAAAATATAATTTTAAAAAACTATTATAAACTAAATGCACAACAATGCAAACTAAATAGAGAACGTTTAAACAAATCCTTTTGGAAGGATGTAAGGAAGATAAATAAACCATATTGGTAAATAGAGTTAACAAATTTTACTTTTGTTAAACTGATTGGGTAGCTTTGCATAAACAAAGAAAATTTAAGTCCTGTTTAAAAGTATTTAAGACCTACAACACCATATTTAAGTGAATTTAAGACTTTAAGACCGTGCGGACACCCTATATATACTGTTTTTTCCAAAGCATTTACATGACGTGATACTGACCTGTGATGGGAGGCCGTTGCTGATGGAGGGGTTCACTGGGTTTGCGTGGCCCGGTGCGGCCACATATCCATCTGAGTAACCAGAGAAGCCGTGACGTCCAGAGGAGAGGCAGTAGGCCGAACTCCCCTCCTGGGCCCCCGGTCCACTGCCAAGCCCAGACTGATGCACTGAGGTGGGGGGAAGAGGCTGGGGCCTGTGCACAGTGCTGGGCTGTTCCGAGACTGAACAGAGAAGGGATAAGAAATTTAGAAAAAGATTTGTGCTTAATAAAAACTAATGATAAAAGGCCTTTTGGAAGAGAGATGTTTCTAAGAGCATTTCAAAGATTTCAGATTTACGGGTGCAGAAAATATGGAGCCAGATCAGTCTCAAAAACAATACTTTTACAAAATAAAATTCATACATGCACAGCATAATTTACATTTATAAAATTGAATTTGGAGGTTCAAAACACAATTCAAAACAATGCAAATCGAATTCGTAAATTCAAAACATGATTTAAAAATACACAAATCCAATTCATAAATTCAAAACACGATCCAAAAGTACACAAGTGAAATCCGTAAACTCAAAACACGATTTAAAAATACACAAATCCAATTTGTAAAATCAAAACATGATTTAAAAATACGCAAATCCATTTTGTAAAATAAAAACACGATTTAAAATTACACAAATCCAATTTGTAAAATAAAAACACGATTCAAAAATACACAAATCCAATTTTGAAAGTCAAAACATAATTTAAAAATATGCCGATCCAATTCATTTGGAGAAAATATTTATGATTTTTACTTTTGAATTCACAAATTGTGTGTTTACAAATTGGATTTTGTAAATGTGAATTGTGTTGAATTTTGTATTATTTTGAGACTGATCTGTCTCCATAGAAAATAATGTCAGGAAGGGACATTTATATAAAACTGAAACATTTTACTTCTAGAAAATATACTGCAACATAAAATCACCTATTTATGTCTTGCAATTCTGACTTTTCCCCTCAATCATAGTGAAAAAAAATGAATATTTTAATATATAAACTAAGAATTGCAAGCAAAAGGGTCTGATTAGTAACATAAGAAAGTTAAAACTATTACTTTTCTATTTATTTTTTGTATCTTAAAATAAATGTGGAAAAAAGCAGAAAATGTGGTCCCATGAAGACCATAATGTCTTTACTATAAACATATTTTGGAAACAATGGTAATAATGTACTTAAACCTGAACCCAAACTCTTGAACGGCAGTACATCACTCTGCTTTACACTTCTCACCTTGTGAAATAGACGACGGAGGATAAGGAGAGTCCGCCAGCTGATAAGGCTGTAGACTCGACATGGCAGAGGGAGGGAAACCACCAGGTATCAGGTGATTAAATGCCATAAGCTGATTGGCTCCCGCCTGCTTCCTCCAGCGAGCTCGTCTATTACTGAACCAGACCTGCAGGACAAGAAAACAACAAACATACTTTTATTAAAGGGCTTTTAATAAAATGTCCTGATCCATATAAAGTGGTTTTAAACTATAATGAATGTCTTTCTTCAGCTGAACACAAAACAAGATATTCAGAAGAATGCTGAAAAAATCAAGTCGAGGGCTGTTTTTTCCAACAATCTTCAGATTTTCTTCCTTTGTGTTCAACAGAAGAATAAAACTCAGATTTGGAACAAGTAGAGGATGAGTAAATAATGACCAAATGTTTTATTTTGGGAGAAATCTCCCTTTAATGGGTAGTCCACTACAATCTCTTATTTGAAACTTTAGCTGATGTGTAATGTGTGAAAATAAACAACATCTCTGAATGTAAGATGCTCAAAGTTCAATGCAAAGGGAGACATTGCTTTTACAGAGTTAGCTTAGCAAAGCCTACAGCGAACGGCCGCAAAAAAATACATCCTGGTTAGTGGGATCACAAACACTGTAGGCTACTTTAATCTTAACAACAGCACTGCAAGACTCCAACATTACCTGTAGATTTCAGTTTCACTTCTGTCTAATTGTCATATCGTTCCAATTTCATATAAATAAATTGATAAAAAGGCTATAAATGATCTTCACATACAATGTAGTCTAATGTATAAAGATGTGACCTAATGACAAGCTCATATTTCCAGTTTGACTCAAATATAAAAAAAACAGTAATACCGGATGGTCAAGGTAAGGAAATTTGAACATTGGCTGGTTATGTATTCGCTCAAAACTTTATTATGGATCTTTTTCAACCTAAAAATGTTATAGACTGCACACTCAGAAGATCTAAAACCATACCCAGACACACAAACACACACATACAAACAGTGTCGAATTTATAGACCTTTTTCATGGCTGCTGCATGGAGGGCGCCATAGCGACCAGCGTCTTCCGGTAGAATGCTAAAAACTTTAGTTTACAGCGTGTACAACTGGTAATTTGCGCTCCGAAAATGGGTTTCAATAACGTTTTTAATGGATAACAGAGTGTTTTTGTGACACACAACTTAGAAATGTGTCTGTTAAAGCAGTTATAATCTGTCACATGTGGTTCAAGCGCGTCAGGAATACGAGAAAAACGTTCTCCTAGTTTACGTGTCTGCCGTCAGAAATACTGTGTGTTTGTGCGTTCCCGGCCTGTCAGCTGTTAGCTCAGCGGCTCTTTAACACACACACACACACACACACACACACACACACACACACACAGAGAGAGAGAGAGAGAGAGAGAGAGAGAGAGCAAACCAGAGTACTGGCATGAAACCTAACAGGTATGAAAGTCGTGCAATTTACAAAAATGACCAATAAAAGTCTGTTATTGATCCTCTGCTGGCTGTTTTGCTGTTCATTCTTATCGCGAGCCGTTTGTGTTTTATTTTGTGTGTTGTATTCACCACGGTTTGTGTTTTTCTGTTATTTCGAAATGACACTAGCCTATATTTTCACTTTGTCACAGTTATTATCAGTGTGTCAGTGGCACAGTACAGGCTACATGTGTGTGTCAAACATTTAGGTGAATTACATTTGTTTGGGCTGGTTATATATTTGAAATAAAGAGAAAATGTTGACTTTAGCGATGACAAGGCTTCATTTAAACTGCAGAAAATGCCGTGGACTTCCGGTTTATTGAGGAATCAGATATGAGCCTGCATTATTATTCCTATAAGAATGTGTTTGTGTGTGTGATGAGTCTCGGTTTACACAGGCACTCTTTGTGTGTTCAGTAGCTCCGAGCTTGTTTGGTCTGATTGCGATCGAAACATCTGTGCTCATTAAAAAGCCATGACATCATGTCACGGGTTCTGCTTTAATTGGGTTAGAAGGACTTAATAATAGAGTTTATTAAAAGGTTCTGTTTTGGGGGGTTTTCTGCGACAGAATACTACAGTAATAACAAGAGGTCAGACGCGGCACAAAGAAGCCTGTGTTTATGCGGCAGTGTCATGTGACTTCAGGGCAGGGGTGCAGGGCTAAATGCTGGTAAATTTAGTCCCACACTGTAAAACAACATTTATATTCTCTTATTGCTGATGAGATTAACAAGAATGTGTGTGGAGTGATCATTTTTGCAAATTGCAGGCAAAACAATGTGCCAATGTTGATATGGTCACATAATGAGCAAAACAGAGTACAAACCAAATTCCGGAAAAATAGGGGGGAGGTTTTGTAAAATGCTAAAAGATTAGGAATGTGTCATTTCTCTTTAAAGGGATTGTTCACTGAAAAATCATAATTTTTTTTCACTCTTCACTTGTTCCAAACTTGTTCGACTTTCTATCATCTGTTGGACACAAAAGAAGATATGTTAAAGAAAACTGGAAACCTGTAACCATTAACTTCCACAGTAGAAAAAATAAATACTATTGAAGTCATTGGTTGCCAGCTTTCTTCAAAACATCTTCTTTTGCGTACCACAGATGGTAGAACGTTGTCAGCTTTCTTCAAAATATCTTATTTTGTGTTCAACAGATAATTTTAAAAATTTTTATTATGCATTGACAGCCCCAGTCCTTGACATCATTCCTTTTACAAATAAAAGAACAAAATTGCACTTTTGTATTACAGAAGGACACTTGAAATAAAATGTAGTTAAATATATACAAATATAAAATTAAATACATAAAAATATAAAATTTATTTAAATAAAAGAAATTAAAATAGAACAAAATAAACAAAATAAAATTTTTCATTTGATTACAATTTAAAAATATAAAATAAAATAAGATAAAATAAAAAATCTAAAATAAAATATAGGAAATTGAACCCAAATTAACTGAATTAAATTAAAATCAAATTAGATATATAAAAATATAATAAAATAGAATAAATTAAATTAAAGTATACAAAAATAAATAAAATAAAATAAAATAAAATAAAATAAAAGACCAAAATGCCACTTTTTGTATTTCATAGCAACAAGTTTTGAAATTAAATTAGATTAAATAATCAATAAACCAAAAAGAAAATAAAAATACTTGGGTGGAAAAACTGAACTTTGAGTTCAACAGATTAAAGAAACCAATAAGGGTTTAAAACCACTTAATAGTGGGTAAATAGTGAGTACATTTTCATATTTGGGTGAACTTGGACTCCCTTTAACCTTTAGTGAAACAATAAAAGTGCAAAGAAAAGGTTTGCAATATTTTAATTGACCAAATACATTGTATTTCTAAAAGTGTTTAACACCACAGCATGTCATATAAGGGCTCAAAGGTTATGCACTTTCAGCAGAAGTTGCCTGCTTTGCTCTACTCAGACTAAGGCTAGTCTTAAAGTGTATGAGTATTTTTGTAGACAGAATTTTCCTCCTTCATTAAAAAAAAAATTGTCAACACAAAAACCCCTATAAAACACTGTCAGGAGCATGCCAAAGCAACAGGAGGCGATATACCTCTAAATATAAAGTCATGTTGGCCAATCAGAAGCTTCAAAAATGGTTATTATCAGTTCTAGTTGGCTGTCAACATGACACACCGGCTATTACACAGACACGCATCTTGTAAACAACAATAACTGTGACTAACAATAACGTCAGACAAAGAAAACAATGCTAAGACCAGGCAAAAACTTCACAGGCTACACAGCCACACAGACCTTAGCATTTTTGGAAATCTTTACCCTAACAAGGGATTTTTTTTATATTTGATATAATATTACATAGTGATATTACTTGGTTACCTAGCTGGAGACTATATTCAGGTACTGCTTAATATAACTGTGTCTTCTGTAGCCATGATACTGCAGCAAAGTTCTTTGTATACTACACCTGAATACGAAAGTAGTTTCTAGCCATATCGACCTAGAAAATAGAAACTCTTCAGTCTCTTGTCGGTCTTAGTACATGATATAACTACAAAAGATTCAAGCTTTTAATAAGAAAATTAACCTTTTTTGAGTGAGATGCTAATGGTCTAATCCAATTCAATGATTTGTGCTAAGCTAAGCTAAAAGTGATGAATGAGTTCAGAAATAGTCAAACTAAAAGTGCAAAAAGTATTTCTTTAAAGAGAATTCAACTCCAATTTACAAAACATCCCTACTTGTTTTTAATCGGATTGTAAAAGGGTTTGAAATGAAGGCTTGTGTTTTTATGTACCTGCACTCGTGCCTCTGTGAGTTTGGCTCTCTGGGCGAGCTCTTCTCTGGTGTAAATATCAGGGTAATGTGTGCGTTCGAAGGCTCTCTCCAGCTCTTCTAGCTGCTCGGCTGTGAACGTGGTCCGACTGCGCCGCTGTTTCCTCTTTAATGGTAAACCAGGCTCTGAGTCCACATCTGAGCCCTCATCAGAGTGGCTTGCTGCAAAGTAAAAATGAAATGAGATTATTATAAGTCAAGCAAAAACCTTCATTTTAATTCAAATTGGGTCCGTTTCTCATTTATATTGTATGGTTTTAGAACAGATATATAGTTGCTTATATAACGTGAATGCTGATTATTTTTAATGACATTTTTATCATGCATTGACAGCCCCAGTCCTTTTACAAATAAGAGTGTTTTGTAAAATAAAACAAAATTAAATTAAATTACATTAAATTGAAATATAAAATAAAAAAACAAAATTAAAACAAAATAAAAATACAAAATTAAATTAAATTAAATAAAGCAATTTAAAATGAAATAAAAACAAAAAGTAAAAAATATATAATAAAATAAAATATAAAATATAAAAATTGTAAATAAATAAATTAAATAAAAATTAAAAAAATAGAAAATAGAAAATAAAAATAAAATAAAGTATAAAATAATAAACAAAATTAAAATAAATTTTTAAAAACTTAACATAAAAATTTTTGAAAAGTATTAAGAATTATACCATAAAATAATATAAACAAAAATAAAATTAAAATTAAAAATGTAAAAATGTAAAAATATAAAATAAAATAAACAAAAGTAAAATAAAATATAAAAAATAAAAGTAAAATAAAAAAAATGTAAAAATAAAATAAATACAAAAATATAAAAATATAAAATAAAATAAACAAATTTAAAATAATACAAAAAAATTAAAAATTAAAATTAAATAAAATGTAAAATAATAAAATTTTAAATAAAATTAACAAAATTAAAAATATGTGTAAATGTGGAAATAACAAAAATAAAAAATATGAAAATATAAAAATAAAATAAAAAATAAAATAAATGAAATTAAAATAAATTAAAATTAAATTAAAATGATAAAATAGTACATTAAATAAACTAAAATTTTAATAACAATAAAAAATTAAATTAAATTAAATAAAAACAAAATTAAAACAAAACAAAACAAAAACATTTCATTAAAATTGATTGACCAAAATGTCAATAAGATTGCAAATTAAATTAAATTAAATTATAAAAAACTAAGTAAAAACTAAAACTACTTTTTAAACTAAAATACTTGGGTGGAAAAACAAGACAGAAAAGTTAATTTATAAATGCAATTCAATAACCCACCTGCAAAGTCATTCATATATAAAATCACTAAATGTACTGTCATTTCACATTCAACATTCACCAGACTGCTCACAGTAAGACATTGAGTTCCCCAAGCAGTAAAGTCCAGCATCTCTAATGTTGACTCTATTTACATACATAAACGCACTCATACTCAGGTATTATTTGTGGTAAAGTTGAAACGGGGTGAGAGCTTCTTTCGTAGTTAATTCAGCAGAAGAGAATGTTAGTGTGAGTGCTCTAAAGCTCAGGGAATCTGTACCCAGAGGAGGGGGGCCCTATCAAATGATTAGGCTCCTCAAACTAGCGTGACAGCCAGCTATTGTCCAGTAATACGCCTCGAAAGCCCCCATCCAGAACTGGCCAACGCCACATCTGCTTCGTCTGACACTGGCCATCTCCGTTCTCTTGTTTGCTCACTCTTCCATTTTCACCCCATATGGTTGAAAACAAAAAACGGCGAAAGACGCACAGACTTCGGAGAGTGAAATCGCATCTGTAGACACTAAAATGTCATTAAAACGTTTGCTTGAGTTTCAGCAGAATTTTACGCACGGCAATATTTTCCTTTAATAATAGTTTCTACTATAACTACTACTATTGAAATAACTACAGTTTTACTTTTTATTTGGGGGGTGGTGCTAAATAAACCAAGCTATTCTTCTAAAAATATGAGGTCAATAAGGGGGTTCTTGCAGCGATGCCACAGAAGAACCATTTGTGGCTCCCAAAGAATCAATCAATGGTTCTCAAAAGAACTATTCCAGCCTACAAATGCAAAAGAGCTTAAAGAAAAGTGAAAAATCACATTAAAATTATAGTTAGGACACACAAACACAAACAAAATTGGCTGAAGACACATAACCATGTGATAAAGCTGCTCCTGAATATTCCAACAGTATTAATAACTCATTTTTCAAAAAATGTTAACTTACTGCTTTTTGCTTTCGCCCAGCAGTATTTATTTCCTATAGTGTGAAGAACACACTGTAAAATATTCGCCATTACATTTACTGGCTAACAAAGACCTCATTCCAAAATGTTTGTACTTTTCCACATTCCCACATCATATGAAAAAAAGATCCAAGTTCCTAATCAGGACATTCAACACAGAGAGGACTAAAGGGCACAATGATAATATGTCTTTTGAGTGGGATCCAGTAGGTTCTATGACAAAAGTTATAGTGAATGAGTTGGTGATTGAGATTTTTAGATGAAGTAAAAATGTTCTGTCATACTCTTTCCCAGTCTGTGACACCCTTTTCTAGTTGACAGTAAGTTTCCCAACTGTGCTGTATAGCTAAATGCTTTGCTGTACCCTCTAAGGCCTTTCTGTACTTCCATGAGACAAATCAAACTAAGCAATGATTGGATGAGTGGGAAGATTGTCCCCCCAGGGAACCCCATAGGCCTTAAAGAATTATATGATTATATAAAACATTTTTTTTTGTACTCTAATAATTTTGGATAAGAATTTTAAAAATTCTGATAAAAAATAAAGATAAAAATTCTAAAATATGGAGTCATAAAAAATAAATTCTCCAAATTCCTCTGTGTAAAAACCTTTGACTGTAATGACAATATAAATAAAACAAGAATTCTTAATTCATTTGAAATTCCTCACGTCATGCTAGAAATGTTTATAAATTAGCACCCATTTCATTAAAAATGACTCATTTGCAAATTTAAACATTACATTTCAGAAAACATGTACTGAAAATAGTTAGACCATTGTTTTTATTAAAGAATTCATAATTTGCATATTTAAACATAACATTTTATAAACATGTATTGCAACATATGTCTGTAATTCTTAATGTATTCAACAAGCTGGAGAATTTTGGTCACAACTGTTAATTATTTTTCCCCTATTCACATGCAGTGTGTTACCGTAAGAGTGAATTTCACAAACTCTTGTGAATTTTCCAGCAAATCTGCAGGGTGAAGAACAAAGAGAGATTCTGAGGTTTAATTAAGAGTAAAGTGATCACTAAAAGCAAAGCATTGGTTCTCCACCCTGAAGCCACTCAGGAAATGCTGTTCCCCAGTGCCAGTGTTCATTTCTCCAGGCAGCTCATGGGAATTGGAAAGGAAAGAGAGAGAAATAACTGTCCTCTAGCACTTTTCCATTCTTTAATGCTACAGAAAAGTCTGTTTAAATGCCATTTTGCCCAAAGGTCTGGACTAGTTTCAGCAGACAGCACCTGGAATGAACTGCCAGCTTTTGAGGAAATGGTATCAATCATTTTCTTCACGGAAAAAATGTTAATATATAAAAACATGCTGTTCTGCCAAAGCCAACATCCAGAAATCTAACAATCAGATCAAGTTTGCAGAGGCAGGAGGTTTTGTGATAAAAAGGCGAAGCATGAAGACTTCCAAATGACTTTATGATATTGGAACAAGCAAAACATCTCAGATTTTGTTTCGTCCTTCAGATTTGCTTTAAGTCTTTAATGCAGTGAAAAATGTCAAATTCAATAAACTAAAATAAAATAAAATAAAAATATTTCTACAAAAAAGAAAACAAATCGCCAAGAAAAATGTAAATAATCAAATAAGTAGATAAAATTTAATTTAAATGTTCCTGTCATTACTACAAAAAACAGTTACATTGTTAAAAATGCATTAATTAAAAAGTAAATCATTAAATGAGTGAATAAAAAAAGAGTTTCTATAAATATTATGACATAAAAACAGAAACAAATTTAATAGAAAAAGCTAATTTTGCAAATAAAATGTCAAAAACAAATTTACCCCTTTAAAATGTCATAAAATGCATTTTATTTATTTACCACTTTAGGCAAATTACATACAAAAAAATAAAAATAAATTAAAATAAGCAAATACAGTAAAAATGCTTGATTAATACTGCAGTCATAAATAAAATAATAAACCAAAAATATATATACAATTAAAATAGATAAAATAAATAAAAGTACAATTTAATTAGAAAAAAGTATTTTTAAAAAAACAAACAAAAATGAACACAAAAAAGTAATATTCTCATTTCTACCATTAAGCAAAATATAATAAAATAATATAAGTAGACAAAATTTAATTAAAAAGTCCAAATAATTTAGATAAAACAGAAGATTAGTGTTTGTTTTATTTATTTATTTATTTATTTATTTGTTTGTTTGTTTGTTTGTTTGTTTGTTTGTTTATTTATTTATTTATTTATTATTTTATCTTTTTTATTTTATTATTGTACTAATCTATTATCACTATACTTCTGTATGGATTGTTTGTATATTGCATGTTTTATTTTTAGCTGTGGTGTGAATGTTTGTTGGACCAAATTTGTAAGTCTAGTGTTTGTGTTTGAATGTCTGAAAACAATAAAGAAAGTTAAAATATATATAAATAAACAAAGAAAAAGATCATTAAACCCTGAAGTTTCTGGTAGTTAATGCAAAAACAGTTCAATTTTAAAAATAAATAAATAAATTAATTAATTAAAAATTAAATAATTAAGTAAATAAGAAAGAGTTTCTAATAATATTATGGCATAAAAACACAATTTAAATTAATTGAATTAGATCATAAAAACAAAATGTGAAAAACAAAAAAAAAAACATTTTTACAAAAATGTTTAATTATTACTGCAAAGTCATAAATAAAGTACAAATAAATAAAAAATAAGCAAATTCAAAATGCAAAATCAATCTTCTTGTAATTCATTTTAGCTTCCATCAACACTGCAAAAGGTCAGACAAAACAAATATTAAAATAAAAAAAAAGCATATAAAAATGAACAAAAAAAAAAGTTGAAAAGTCTAATTTCTGTCATTACCACAGCAAAAAAAAAAAAAAAAAAAGGTGACTAGTGACTGTAATCTGTAAATGACAGTGTTGCGTTT